TTAAATCTCCTGTTATTATTAGGTTTTTATTATGGCTAACTAGGTTACTCAACAATTTTATGTCTAGGGTTTTACTCGGTGAGCAGTATATGCCTGCCACCGTTACTTTTATCTTATTTTCTGTGATGACATCTATGGATATACATTCATTGGTGGTAGTTATATCCACTTCAGAAACAATCAGATTTGTTTTATATATTAACAGTATTCCTCTATTTAGATCTCTGCTGTTTGTTCTATCTCTTCTTATTGTTGAGTAACCTTTAATTTTAAATCTGTTTAATTTATATAACATGGTTTCACTGATTATTAGTATATCTGGTTTTATGGTGTTTGTTAAATCTTCAATCTCATGTTTCTTGGAAGCAAGTGCACCTTGGATGTTGACATGTGCCACCGTGAATTTAAATTAGTAATGTGCTAGTTAATGTTCTTAGAATTGCCTGAAGGAATGATGCGATGTTGTTATATAAAATTTTCATTAGTATTTTGAAGCAGTCATCTGTTCTGGATGGGTTGTTTAGTTCCTGTATGAATTCTAGTGCTATTGTTTTTATAATGTTTATAATTGGCATGTCAGTGTTGATTTCATTTTGTTTAGTTTTTGTCTGATCCTTTGTTATTTTGGAGTTTTCTGGGGTGTTGTCCTTGGGTGTTTCATTAGTAGATTCTCTTTCACTCTGTTTCGTGATTGTGTTGGTGACTGCAGCTGCGTATGTTGTTTATTGTGTTTGTGGTGTTGGAAGTAACATCTTTCTTGTTATTGTTTGTGTTGGTTGGGGTTGCTTTTGTGTTTGTGCATTTGGGTTTTTAATTTCGTATATTTTGATCTTGATGGTTTTGTATTTTTGACAGCCCTTGTAGTTGGCTGTGTGGTTTTCTCCACAGTTGCAACATTTTGGTTCAGGTTGTTGTTTCATACCTTGTGTGATGTGATGGTTTTCTCCACAGCCAACACATCTTGGAGTAGCTTGGCATGCAGCTGCTACATGTCCAAATCGTTGGCAATGGTAACATTGAGTTACTACTATGGCTGGTGTTTTTGTCAGTTCCACTGTGTATCTTTGGTACCACATAATGATACCATTGTTTATGTAATGTGTGATATCCTGTGTGTTATCAACGTATACTTTTACTAGGTTTGTTGGTTTTTTTGTGATGTTTGAAATGATTCTCTCTACTTTATTAACTTTTACTTGTTGTGTGTGTAACATGTCGTGTATGTCTTCCTTGTTTATGGAGTAGTGCACTCCCCTGATCACTAATGACCTGGGTTGTGTCCTTGGTCCCGGAAGTTGTATTGTTATTGCATTTGTGTTAAATGCGTTTTCGGGCCATGTCTGTAATAGTTTATTCAGGTCTGCGGGTTCTTGACCTCGAACGAGAACACCGCCCCTGGGTAGTCGTTTAATGCATGTAATCTGTACTTTCGGTTTGCACCGATGAATTTTCTTTGCTAGTTGTGGTTGATTGAAATGTCCGGGGATTCCCTGAATTATTATTGCGTATGATGGTTTATGGCTGTCTGTTTTGTGTTGTTGTTCATTATTTGTCGCGCTTTGTATTTGTTTATCACTTTGCTTTTGTTTCTTAGATTTTACTAAGGTAAAACCCTCTTCATCATTATTTAGTGTTTGTGTTTTGTTCTTCGTCGTGTTCGATGTTTGTTCAACATCCAAGGAGTAAGGTGGTTTACTTACATTATTATCCTGTACATTACCGCCGTTGATAGTGTCAGCCTCAGCCTCACTATCTTCGGTTTCTTTAGTAACTGTGGGTGATTTTGATATTTTTCGTTTCTTTTTAGCTCTGCTTTTGGATAATTCTTCTTTTGCAAAATTAATTAATCCTTTAAGGCTAGCATTACAGTTATTAGGATCAGGTACACCTACGTCAGACTTACAGAAATTATCTTGCATAGTCGGTTGTTTCATTGCTGTGGTTGTTTCTCCTGTATATAAGTTCCGATCTTCAGAGTTGGCCTTGTCCGTTTTCCGTGTTGTTTTTGTGCCGGTGTTCATGGTCGGTCAACGAGAAAGAGGTCTCCCTCAGCGTAGGCGAGGTCGTCAGAGTCGCGACAGTTATGCTGTATCACTGATTTAGTGGTGGATCTTTTTTTGGTCGTGAACTTTTTGGGGAACGTGCCTGGAGAATGCTCAAGTCGTTAGGTAGTATTCAAGATTTATTTTTTGCTGCTTACTCTCTGCCTTAAACAAACCGAATCTCTCCGCTTAAGAATGCTGTACAATTGAGATCTTAATTCAAACTTGGCGTAATTAAGCTATACGTGTCATTCCTGAAGTTTCGCACTTAACCGAATTACAATAAATATAGGCAAATAAACTGAAATTAATTTTCCTTTGATATTTTTAAATGGAAAATAATATTTTACAAAATTTATAACATATTCATTTGAATATGACATTAAATATACGAAACTAATACTTAAACACCAAAAAGAAACACTACGTGCAGAATACGTAATAGCCTATGAGTATGAGTTACACTGACAGGTGATGTACCCTTTTTTCTTTTTTTTTTCGTGTGCAATGTAATATTCTCATGTTATTGCTACTTAATAGAACTGTATGCTGTAAAGTTACATTCTGACTACGTAGATAAAGCGTAATGTTAATACGTAGTGGCACAACGTTATGACATTACCAAATCATTAGTACCATGTCACTGCATACTACGTTTGCTGGGACATAATTACACTTTTACAGTGATTTGCTAAAGTAAGGATAAAACTTTTTAAGTAACTCAGTTTTTGTAGTTTTGACTTCAATACTTTTAATTTTATACCATTAAAACTTGCTATATTGCTATAGCTAGCTAGGTTATGTATGTATCGATCTATAATTTTTTGTTTTTTTTATTATACTTGTTTTTATAACAGGGTGAGTGATTATAAAATGAGATGATGTAGGCTGTAGTTGAACTTGTAAGCCTGCACTTTATTAGTTTGTAGGAGTTTTTTAGGGGAGATAATCTCCTGAAAAGTAAAGAGTGGGTGTGAAAGGATGGCTATAAAAGACCAAATAATCCTTTGCTTTACGTAGGTTACGTTTTGTTACGAAGTAATTTTCCTGGCTATTGTAATGTTAGAACAATTACGTTAGAAATTTTCATTAATATTATAATATTGTTTTGCCAGTTACATTGTAAATGTTATTAGCTTGAATATTTTTTTGTTTAACTGTAGTTTAGTCATGTGAATGAATTCATTCTTATGTTATTAAATTGTTGAATATGTATCTTTCTGCTGTAGGTTGCATGATATATGATGCTCACCTAACTAATGTCGACATTTTTCCAGTGCCAGTGTTTTATGACCAATAACATATATCTTCAAACTTATAATCTTCATGTAGACTATAGGAACAGTGAACAGTTCTGGAAAGACTATGGTCAAGTAAGTTTGATAAAGTGTTTTCAAAAATTACTTGAAGAGATACAAGCAATACAATGGGGTATACTTGTCTAGGTCCCAGGTCACGTTACAAGGAAATTTTTGTAAAGGATAGTGTTAAATGAGGGAAATGGCACTGGAGAGGGTGAAAACACTACCATCTCCAAGATTACACAAAAGACTCTTGCTGCATTATAGTTTAGATTCTGAACATCTATATTTTAAAGAAATTCATTCTCTGCAGGAATGTTAAGTATGGGAAATTTCTCTCATTGCTGGTGTTCAATGGAGAATGGCGAGTTTTTGTTAGACTGCACAAGGTAGGGAATTTTGGCTTACTTACCCTTTTTTATCAGAGCAATCTTTCCTCAGTACTTGCCCAGCTTCTTTTCAGTTAGTATATGTACTTTTCTGCTTTGGTTTTGTGCAGTAATGACTTAAAACCAAATACTCTTTTGTCCAGTTTTATTAAGTTTAGAAATGTCTTTCATATTCTTTCCTCAGTGAATGGGAGATACACTGTGGTTTTTCCAGTTTGAACATTTTTGATGGAAGGTATAATAAAATGCATCATACTCGCATCCAGGTGTCAATCACCCTTGCAACATGTTGCTCTAGTCAAGCATGCAGGGAATAGACTGTCAACCAGATGGTACAGGGGTGAGCCAATCTAAGTTAGGAAAGAAGTATACACACAGTATACAGACAGTGAGATTTTTTGATTAAATAAGTCTGGGACAGGATATTTTTTTGGGAGCAGGAGTTGGTTTTGAAAACAAGAGGATTCTAGTCAAAACTAGGAGAATGACATGTATGGTGGGGTGACAACGACCGTTAATCACTTTGCAACTAAACTGGAATTTGTCTAAATGGTGAAAATCACTGTAAATTATAAGACAAAAACAGGTGTAATTGGGATGTGATGTTTGTGTTTAGGTGCATAACACAACTCAGTTTTTTCCATAACAAATATTTTTAAATGTACCAGCTCATTCTCCTTCATACAAACAAAGAAATTTCTCTGTGAACTACAAAAACTTATCTAAAGTTTAAAACAATGCAGATGCTATCATTGTGAATTTTTTATCAAAATAAGCTACTTTGTTTACTTCAGATGTTACTTTTAAAGTTTTGTTTAACATTAGTTCTTCAAATCTGGATGATTTGAACTTCAGATTATACTTCCATGTCACCATAAATTTCGATTATGATAAAAATATGATGATCTTGGTATTTAGATAGAAGTGTATTAACTAAAGAGATTTAAATCTTAATTATTCTTATGAATGATACATTATACTTTCTAATTATTCTAAATGTGAGTTATATTTAATCAAACTTTACAGTCTTTAAAGAGTATGGGATGCTGCTCTGAAACTGACAGAAGAAAAGTTACAGAAGAGGTAAGTTGTGATATAAAATAGAACTGCTCACAGAGAAAAATTTTAAGAGAATAAAGAAAATTAAAAAGCAGTTGAATATACAGGCACAAAAATGGGGTTTCAAAGAAGCAGGTCAAATGAGTAAAATTGACTGTAGAAAAAGTCTTAAGATAAATATTGGACACCATTTGATTTCTGTTTTACTTTTAGTCAGGAATTAAAACTACTTCAATAATCATTTTGCAGGTTTAGTTGGATTACTAATGAATTGTATTTGAAGAGAATGCTTAATCTTTACTAAAATATTACATATTCTTATTAAAATTGTGATAAGTAATCTGTTAGAGATGATTATATTAATCTTGAGAGGGCCACCTACGTTTGGAAACTATTAAGGAACAGTTTATTTGTCTTGGGAACATTATGCAACATCTTAAATTTTTAATGCCAGTTTATAGTTTATAGATGTAACATTCTTTATGTAAAACCAAACTGTGTATATACTTAACTGTTGACCACACTCATCAGTAAATATGTGTGATATATATATATATATATAGTTGCTGTGAAAATGGACTGGTGTACCAGAAGTATGTATGATTTTAACATATGTGTTTATTTGTGTACAGTTGTTTTTTTAAATGGACAAATAATTGTGTTATAAGGTTTTGATATAAAGTTGAAAACAGTGCAGAAGCTATGATTGTGAATTTTTCATCTAAACAGTTAGTGTGTTTACTTCAGATGTTACTTTCAAAGATCTGTTTAATATTAATTATATGAGCATGGATGATTTCAACTTCAAACTGTACTTCTATGTCACCACAATTTTTGGTTATGATGAAAAGGTGACAACCAAGGTATTTAGATAAAACTGTAATAACCAAAGAAAGTTAAATCCTAATAATTCTTATGATACAATATAGTTTCTGCTTATTCTTAACATGAGGTATATTTAATCAGTACTGGATGTTGCTCTGAAAACGATAGATATAAAATTACAGAAGAAGAAAGTTATGACATAAAATAAGATTGTTCATAGAGAAATAGTTAAGGAAGAGGAAGTTGAGATAAAGTAGGACTGATCAGAGAGAAACAGGTACTGAAGAGGTATGTTGATGTAAAATTAGAACTGTACACGGAGAAGTAGCTACTAAAGAGATTAAGTTGTGATATACATTAGGACTGTTCACAGAGAAATAGTTAAGGAAGAGGAAGTTGAGATAAAGTAGGACTGATCAGAGAGAAACAGGTACTGAAGAGGTATGTTGATGTAAAATTAGAACTGTTCACGGAGAAGTAGCTACTAAAGAGATTAAGTTGTGATAAAGTAGGACTGATCACAGAGAAACAGGTACTGAAGAGGTATGTTGATGTAAAATTAGAACTGTTCATGGAGAAGTAGCTACTAAAGAGATTAAGTTGTGATATACATTAGGACTGTTCACAGAGAAACAGTTATTAGCTGAAGAGAATAAAGAAAATTAAAAAAGCAATTGAAAATAAAATAAAAGAATGGGAGGGGGTAAAGGAGCACTTCATATGATGAAAACTGAGTGTATAAAAAGTTTTAAGATAAATATTGGATAATGCTATTATATGTCTTACTTTTAGTCAGGAATGAAATTTATTACTGTAATCTTTTAGCATGTTCTTTAACAGTTGAATAGGAAACTTTACTTAACTAATAATATTACACGTTCTTATCAAGATTGATGAGTAATTTGATAAAGATGATCAGATCAGTATTTGGAAAGTCTTAAGGCACAGTGTAACTAATTTTCTTGAGAAAATCATGTAACAAGTTAAATTTGGAATGCTAGTTTTCGTTCATTGTTTCTCAAATGGTAGGTCACGAGTTGTCTGTGCTGAGTCAACTGGTTTTTAGTCCTTGAGGTACACACACGTCACCTTTGCTATGAACTATGAGGAGCTGCATCGAGGACTATTTTCATCCTTGCAGAGATATTGGGAGGGGGTGACCAAAGCCCAGATTTGGGGGTCGTGTGGCAGATAAACATGTCCTAGTTTGAAGATGTAACATTCTTTGACTAAGACTGTCTAAACTACATATACACACAACAATTGACCATTTCTGTAGTCACTGTGAAAATAACTGGTGTAAGGGTAATATATATTATTTTGAACATTATATAAACTATGTTGGGTCAAGTTTCTTTAGTGCTTTTATAAATGGTAAAGATACTGTGGATTTTATATACAGTTTTTTTTTTGTTTTGCTCTAAATACATGTGCATAAGGAGTAGTGGTAAGGTTATATGTTAGAAACATGTCATCGTAATGGTTTTATTCTTTATTTATCTAGACAAGAGTTTTACAATTAATGAGTTAAAAATAAACTATGTTGTTTAAGTAAAAGATTTTTAACCTAGATGTGATGAACCTTGACTGATTTTTAACAATTTTTGATTGTCTGCTTTTCTTTTAAGATTCAGAATGAATTACAGAGACGTTCAACACTTGACGTGGATTCCCATAAAAGGAAACAAATCATCAAAGAAACCTACAGACCTCTTTATCCTCATCTATATAAATTAAAGGTAAGCTGGAGGAAGGAATTCATGTTTATTGTACTAGTTATATATGTAATAAACTGTACTAAAGCTAAATTCACGGTAGAAGGTCTTTTGATTGGTATTGTTAATTAATAACAAAAATTTGCTTAGTGTTAATTTCAATCAAGACATTTTCCTGTAAAATCTTATTTCTAAATTAATCAACGTGTTTTGTCTTTCAGGAAGACTTCTTCCATCCAGAGTTTCTCCATTTAGTTGACCAGTGTATAACCAGCCAGTCCTTGATGTCTGTACAGCAATATCTTCACACTATTTCTGAAGGTTCGTCAGGAATAAAGTTAGTCTAAGGTGTTGTATTTAGTGTTTCACTGGTAGTATAGTATTAAATGAGGTTTGTATGTCAGCTGTAATGTATTAATATTAATTAATTTGTTCTTGAGTTATATATCTACACAACGTATGGGTTTTTAAGTTTACTGAATTAAATGATAAACATTTTATATGTAAAATTTCTTAGATAATTTGATGGTTTACAAATACTTAAAGAATAACTATATTTAGGAGATCTCGTGAGTACTAACATAATTCAACTGAACTAGCCAGATTTCACAAAATGTTGTATGAATTATATTTTAAAACACCTTGGATAACAAGTAATTTAATGTAACCTATTAACTCTCAGCACAGGCTTGGTCCCTGGGAATGACGTCATAATCATTTGGTTGACATATTATTGTATATTCTTCTTTGCTTTCAGCTATCTCTGATTTTGAACTGGTAGACTACGGAGAAGGCTTCTATTCAATAACCCCCACTGTCAATGCTTGGACTACTCTTGTCTAACTGCATAGTAGGGTTTGGCATCACTTTTATACAACACTCAAAACCCCAAAGTTTCTCTGGCAATGGGTAGTAAAGTCATGAATTCATAAGATCATATTTGAGGCACAATAACAACTAGGCAATGTTTGATCCTTCTTTTTAATATTCTTAATGATTTTGATTGAATGTTTTAAACTTACAGTATAATTTAACTCTTCCAGCATATGCTTGGTCACTGGAACTGACATCATAACCATTTTGTGCTGGTTATAGTTTTCATGCTATAACTTTTAAGTGAGTAAGCATATGTTAACGAAATTTGGCAGATTATCTTTCAACATTACAATGCTTTCATATGCAAAATATCATATTATTTTATTAAGTCTTAAGGTTTGTAAAGCAATGTTTTTCTCATGCCTTTTTTTTTCTTTTCGTATGTTGCCTATCCAACATGCAAAGTAATTTTCATTTTAAGATTAAAAATACTTTTATGAATCAGAAAATTTTCAAATTTCGCTTGCGAAATCTTTATAATATCGAGATAGCTATCAAATGCTTCTTAAGAAAAAACTTTATATTTTATCTGTTATTTTCAGTAACGAATCTCTGTATGTGTTGGTCAGTTTGACCTATCTCGTAACCAAGTTAAAAAAAAAATGAAATAAATATAAATTGTCTTTTTCGTTATAGAATGACTACAGATTATAACACGAAAACATAAATGTTTAGACTAAATAACTTAAATCTCATAACATTATACATTTATATAAATATTTATTATACTGAACTTTCAGCCATGCCTGTCTAAAAATACAGAAGTTACAATGAGGCGGTACACATGCACTCATGCTACCGTATCCAATAATATAAAACTGACCTTTAGCCTTTACAAAGGGACCTACCTGTCTTGGCTGTGTTTTAGTACCTTAGTATTTTGTAAAATACAGTCACATTTCAATTATTATACATTATATATGTATATAGATTATTGCTATTTAGAAATAAATTCTTAAACATATTTTTCTTAAAACATAGAACAGTTATCTCTCCTAGTTATAACCTTTGTACTCAGTTGCTGCTTGACAAAGGTTGCTAAGCTTTTTAAAATTTTGCACGTGGAGGATATGAAATGAAATATATATTAGTAGGTTTTATATATATACAAATCAATTACTATATCAGTACCATAGAATTCCACTATAATTTATCAAGCTGTATTTCAGTCTAAAAAATATGAAATTTTGAGCAGACTAAAGATGCAACCTACTTCCTTGAAATCTTGGTTCAAAAGAAATAAATGGTATGCAAACACGTTAAAATGGCCGAAAAAGCCACTAGGAGGACATTCTGAGCTTCCGAATGGTTATTCATATCATATATATACACCTGGAAAAAAGTTAAGCACCCCCGTGTTTTTTTAAAGTGATTCAGATTCGACGTTCTTGTGACTGATTATAAATTACCATTCAATCTAAACGTGTTTATCAAATGAAATTATGCATTATTGGGCACAAGAAAACAAGATTATCACCGTAAAATAACAATTTTCAATTTACATATCATGACATCAAAATATGGACAGTTTTCACGCTTAAAATTATCTTTAATAAGTATTGTCAGTGA